GAGTTTGGAACAGTGGAACACCGTGTGGACGGGCAAGTGAGGTGGCACCGCGATGCGGAATGAGGGCCCCTCGGGATCATCACCAGCTACAGAGAGAATGCGCCAAGGCCCCATCCACTTGGGAAGGAGCTTGCGAGAGATGTCTTGCTCAAGGCTGAACTCCGCCGCGGAGACCCAAACCAGATCGCCGGCGCGGAACGGGCAAGGAAGGCGATTGCGGTTGGCTTGACGGCTCATCCGTATTTGCGTCTTCGACATCTGATCCCGTGCCTTGACAAGAAGCTCTTGCATGCGACGAAGGAACGCAAGATGGACGTCGCTCTCAGCTGTGCGCGGCAAAGTAGCATCCAGCGGTGATGAGATGGGTGAACCATGCTCAAACTCGAACGGCGACATCCCGATAGCCGGGAAGATCGATGAGTTGTAAGCCAACTCAACGTCTGGCAAGCGTTCAACCCAATCAACCTGGTCGGGACGGATGAGAGTGCGGAGAAGGACTTGAGCGGTCTGATGCGCCCTTTCCGTTTGACCTTCAGTTTGTGGGTGGCGAGCCGAACTCGGCTTCAAGGATGAGCCCCATCGCTTGACGAGGACGACCCAAAAGTCGGAGAGAAAGCGATACCCCGTGAATGCACAAGTAAGTAGCCCTCTTAGATCCGATAATGCGAAGGCACTGGATTCGGAGAGGAGCAATTCGCGTACTTGTCGCGAAAGTGGGGGTCGGCTTGATAACTGCGGATGAATCTCTCCCGCAAGTCGTCGTCGATCTCAAAGGTAGAGTAGACTGCGGTGCAAAGATCCGGTCGCCATGAGAGGGCATCCGCAAAACGATTTGACTTCCAGGGAATGTGATCGGGGAAAAAGTCAAACTGGTCGATGAAAGCCATCCAACGGGCAATGGTACTGTTAATCGTGTCTTGCGACTTGTAAAATACCAACGGATTGTTATCCGTTACCCATCGGAATGCTTTCCGACCAAGGAGGAAATGTCGCCAACGCTTGAGGGCATGGACGAAGGCAAGAAGCTCCTTCTTCCGTGCGTCGTCGATCGAATGCACGGGAGGTACTTTCTTGCTAAAGTACTCGACCGGGTGCCAGTCCGTGCCATCGTGCTGCTCAAGGACGGCCCCAATGCCATAGCCCGACGCATCGGTAGTGACGCGCGTAGCTAGAAGCGGGTTGTAAATATGTAACACCTCGGCGGACAAGAATGTCGCTTTGAGTGTCTCAAAAGAATGGCGCGCGTCGTCGTCGAAGTCAAAAGGCCGCTCCTCGCTTTGTAACTTGCTTAGGTTGACCGCGATCTTCGAGTAACCATTGATGAAGCGCTGATAATAACCGGCCAAGCCGAGGAAGGATCGGACGTCCGTCACATTCTTCGGCTCGGGCCACTCCTGGATGGCTTGAATCTTGTCCGCCAACGGACGAATGCGTTCCGGAGAGACAAAATGACCCAAGTATTCAAGCTCTTGCCGGACAAACTCGCATTTGTCGCGGTTAGCTTTGTACCGGGCTGACCGAAGAGTCTATAGAACACGGCGAAGGTGGTCGAGATGCTCCTCTAGAGTTCGGCTATAGACGAGGATGTCGTCTAAGTAGACCAAAACGAAGCGGTCCAACATAGCGCGAAACTCGGTGGTCATGGCCGCCTGAAAGGTGGTCGGGGCATTGGTGAGGCCAAAAGGCATAACTACCCACTCAAAATGCCCATATCCTGTCTTAAACGCGGTTTTGTACCGATCTTGCGGGCGGATGGAAATCTGATGGTAGCCCGACTTGAGGTCCAACTTCGAAAAGTACTTCGCGCCGCCCAACCGCTTGAGCAAATCGTCAATGCGAGGTAGAGGCCCCGCGTTCTTGATGGTTTGCGCGTTGAGGCATCGGTAGTCAATGCAAAGTCGAAGGTCCTTGTTCTTCTTCCGAACGAAGAGAACGAGCGCACCGTAAGTTGAGCTGCTAGAGCGGATCCAACCCTTGTCGAGTAGATCGTCAAGTTGCGCACGGAGAACCGTGAGCTCCTCCTCGGACATGCGATAAATGCATCCTTTCGATGGCACGACGCCGGCCTCAATTATGATCTCGTGAGAGATTGGCCGGTCCGGCACTATACCGGAGGGTGTCTCAAAAACATCCGAGAACTCGTCTAACAACCGGGTCACACGGGGTCGGAAGACACTTCTGTGGACGATGAATCGGTCGTCGGGACGGTTCGAAGCAAAGCGATGCCAATCTCTTTGACATGCTCGGAATGGCATGTGTCTCGAAAAGATTTGGCACTCACGACTTGGCACCTAATGGAAGAGCGAGGAGGAGGAATAGTACACGGGACCTCGGCGCCAGTTGCATCACGAATCGTGAGCGTGCGTCGATGGAAATTGACCGTGTGATCCGCGCTAGAAAGCCAAGGCATCCCCAAAATGACATCGAAGTCGGTGTCCAACACGTCAAAAGTGACGGGTTCACATGCGTGCGGTCCAAAGTACACCGGGACAGTCGAGATGTAACGGTCTAAAAGTTGTTTCGTCTTACCGTCGGCAAGAGCGACCGTCGTCGGATGTGACTTCCTCCGTACTTGTGCGCCAAGGCCAGCCCGAGTCATGAAGGACTGGCTGATGAAGTTGCGAGTTGCGCCACAATCTAGCAAAGCGTTGCAGGCCGCTTGCCCAATCTGAATGCGAACGTAGAGCAACGGTGCGTTGTTTTCTTCGTACCATTGCGAGACAAACTCGCGGGCCACCTTGGCAACGTAGCCAAGCATGTCCCCCACCGCGACTTCGTTTACCATCGGCGAAGTTGGTGGTGCATGGAAGGAAAGATACTGGTGTAAGAGGGCGCATAGGGCTGCGCTTTGCGGCCCCGGAAGGTTGCCCATCGTAGGGAGAGGAATCCAAGCGAAGTCCTCGGGCGTGAGCGGGTCCAAAGCCTCCTCGTTGAACACGCTTGCCGAATCCCTTGATGAAGACGAACTGGCGGAAGAACCTTCGGACGGTGAGAAAGCCGCACATGTATCTTGTCCTTGAGAAGCATCCAGTGAAGGAACGAGCCGGGCAGCGAAGTCTTCGAACGAAAGTGGAAGACTCCCGAGATCCACATATGCCTCGGAAGAAAGGGCGGTCGTGCGCACAACCGCTTCCGATGGCGTCGAGGGAGGTGTCGAGTCACCCTCGGCGGCGCCTACTTTCCCTGACGGGGTTTTCCTTTGGTGGGGCAATGTGCAGCATCGTGGATGGTGCTGTTGCACCAAAGGCAGTAACGGTACTTGAGTCTCGTGCGATAAGAATTCGCCGAGAGTCCGTATTGTGCCCAAGGTTCGTTGGCGGCTGATCCGGTGCTCGGTGTAGAGGTGGACTGAGTCTTCGTCTTGTCGCGGCCGTGGTTGTTGCGCGSCCGGCCACCATCCCGGGCAGCTGCCAACACTTCACCCTCGTTTGGTGTTGCAGCCTCGGTAGAAGTAATGCAAGCCACCTTTGGCTTGGGCTGGGTGCCGCTCGTCATCGCGGAAGATCGGCCGGCGTTGGGGGCTTCGATATTCGTGAGAATGATCCGTGACGTTGTGTTGAAAAGCTTGTCAGATGTGTCGAGTGTCTCTGCAATCTGCGTCAGCGCGTTTTGCAGATCTGGACACGAGTGCATGATAAACAAGTGCTTGATGGCGCGGAATGCGAGCGGCAGGTCAGGTGTGGAGGCGAGTCTTTGGAACTCGGTAATCCAGTCCTGACTGAGCATTGTGTTCTGATGGAGCTTGTTGAGCTTGTCCATCGCTTGCAGGTCGGGCGGCTCCACTTGGAATCGCTTGTGCCAGGCGTCAGTCAACTCCTGCCAAGTGAGCTTGGTGTGCAGTTCCGACACTGCTACGCCGTGGCTAGTCAAGATGTTGTCCAGCAATGCTTGACACGCACCACCAGATCGGTGGTACAAGCACCGATGTCGATCGTTGTTCGGGACATGGTGCATGTCGAGCCTGAGAGTAAACTGGCGCCACCACGGGATCGGTTCCGTCTTGGACTGATCGCAGATGACGGGAATGTCATCCAACTTGGGTGGGCGCCGGGAGGATGCGGCGGCGGGCGTCACGGTGGCAGCAGCCTGGACCTGCGTCTCCAACTGCAAGTTCGTTGCTTGCTACGACGTCCGGAAGTCCTAATGCACACGCTTGATGTTACTGACGTCATCCTCCAAAACTTGCACACGGGTGGTAAGGGTGGAAGGCCCTGCGGCTGCTACAGCAGCTGGCTGTTTCTCCAACGCCTGCAGCCGTGCAAGCATCTGGTCCACTGTCTGCTGCAGGTGAAGGATTTCCTCCTGCTGCAGAGCGCAGGTGGCCACGAGGTCGTGGGAGACCTGCGCAAGGGCTGACAACCCTTTCTCAGTCTCCGGGGCCCCGTTTGCAGATGTCACTTCCACCCAATGTGCGGCCTCATCGCCGATCACGGTCTCCCGCGTGAACAGTTGTTCCCGCTGGCGTGACCGGTGTTCGGCTGCCGCCTGCAGGTCTACCTCTTCTTGACGAAGTCGGTCCCGTTCCTCCTTCTGTCGCTTGGCCTCCTCCTCTTGTTCAAGCTGCTGACGGTCCTTGGCCGCGGCGGCGGCCCTATCGTTGGCCTCTTGAATGAATGCCGCCAGGCATTCCTCATAGCTCAGGAGGGATTCCCCCGCCTTCCGGTCCATGGCCTTGGTCTGTGATCGAGTGAGCAGTGTCATGCACTGCTGTGCCCGCAGTCGGAAGAGTCACCCGAGGGCCAATCTGATGGGCTGGCCCAGTACCCGGACTGGAGGGGGAGGAATAGGTAGGAAGTAGACAAGTGGGAAGGATCGGACAGAGCCCAATTTGAACAGTTTCCTAATAAAAAAGAAGTAGAACAAAACTTTAAAATTTGGAAAAAGTCTGTCCAATCCCACTGAGTACCGAAGGTGATGCAGAAAGCAAATGTGAACCTTCGGTGCTCGGACTGCAGAGAATCAGAAAAGAAGGGTCTTTATAACTCAGAGTAGGAGTAGGTTGCAAACAGAAAAAAAATGCCATTTTTTTTTTTTTGAAAAAAAAGAACGGAATTTGCAGACCTACGCAGTGAAAGTGTAGAGGGACAGTTTCGGAAAAAGAATCGCGAAATTATCAAAATGCAGACATTTAACAATTAAACAAGGTAAAAAAAAGAAAAAAAAAAAAATTCTCGGAAAAAGAATTCTCGGAACGGAAAAAAATTCTCGGAAACCAAATTTCTCGAAAAAATAATTTTTCGG